CCCGGCCGATTTTGGTAGGCGGCTGTTTTCCCGGATTCCCGTTTCTGGTTTCCCAGGTTCCCAGTTGATGGTTCCGGGCCAATTTCGGTGGGCGGCGGGGTTCCCGGGTTTGCAGGTTTCCGGGTTCTAGTCGATCTCCTTATCGATCGGTCTTCCCATGGATCTCATTACCCGTCTCACTATCGATTTCATTATGGATCTCATAATCGATCTCACTATAGATCGCACGAGCGATCTCACGATCGATCCCTCTGAATCGACTTCACGTACGATTTCACGCTCGACTTTACTACGGTCCTGATTATCGATCCCACTCGGGATCTCTCAATCGACCTCATTATCCAGATCACTAAGTTTCAAACCATCTACTGATTTCTTTTCTGGTCTATTACATTGATGTGCAGATTTATAGGTGTGTCTATATGTGTGTACACGCTCCTCTGTAATTGCATCCGGACCGTGCGTTCCATGATCGGAATACAGTATTGGCATGTGGGGAACGCGCTTATTTCGGGCAAGTCCCGACTTCGTTTAGATCTGGGGGCCTGGAGGGGCTTCAAAACCTAGTGGTCCCCAGTCTTACCTTTCCGAACCTCACCAATGTCGAATAGGTATACCCGCGCACGTCTCGTTTCTCTCTCCGCGTTGAACACCGTCCATCTTCCAATTGAAAGCCCTCGTGAGTTGTTGTGCCAATCTCGGGAAGTAGATCTATAAAGGCTTGGTGGCGCATTCATTTGCACAGGCGCTTTATGAGCCCTTCCCTCGTCACTGCAACGCTTTCTACTGCCACGCCGCAGAGGTGCCAGGACGGTTATGAAACATGCACGGCAGCGTGTAGGAGAAGTCCCACAACCAATTCAATGTGGTATCTGTTCTGTTCGTCAAGTTCGTGGGCATGTGTGAAGGCGCTCGCGGAAGGGGGGGAACTTCTGTCACGAGGATGATGCAGGGCCATTGGTAGGAAGACCCTCCCTGGGCAGGGCGATTGTACCCAGGCGCGCCAGTCCCTTTGCCGACGCAGTTCAAACGCTGCTAGCAGGAAAGACGTCCCCTGCCAGGGCGATATGACTGAGCGTGGGCACTGCAGAGAGGAGATCCATTCCGAGAGGCCCGACTATGCCAGACTCAGGCGAGAGCGTGCATGGTAGCGGACTCTTTCGCCTCCGTGCAGCCAAGACGTGGCAGTTAAGAGCGGCTTGGATCCGGAAGGGGCTCGATGTTCCCTAGGTCGTTCCATGGTTGTTCTTCTGGCCCTTCGCGTTCACCCACGCTCTTCTGGTGCCAAAGAGGGGGCGTCGTTTGTTATCTAGCGTCTCCTGTGTCAGCAGCCCGACTGCAGTTATATATATATACACATACATACAAGTGGCACGTGTGTGCCCAGGCTCATACAACAAAAACTGAAGGGGCGTTTGAAGCAGGAGTGAAATGCAACAGCGAAGTCGCACTCGAGTGCAAGTGGGGTCGCCACACCTTGTGATGTGTGTACCAGGGCCCCCCAGGAAGCCTCAGGAGGCCCGATTTGGATATCAGAAGAGGCTCCAGGAGGCCCCAGGATTGTGAGTGTTGTGTGGGTGTGTGTGTGTGTGTGTGTGTGTGTGTGATGTGTGCTCTGTGTTGTGCGTGTTTTTTGTGCGTTGTAGGTGTTGTGTGTGGTATGGTTGTCTAGCGTGTGATGTGTTGGGCGTGATTTGTGTCTCTGTGTGTGCATGTAGTTCTGAGGCCCCATGAGGCCCCAGGAGGCCCCAGGCGGCCTCAGGAGGCCCCAGGAGACCTCAGGAGGCTTCAGGAGGCCCCAAGAGGCTCCAGGAGGCTGCAGGAAGCCGCAGGAGGTTTCAGGAGATCCCCAGGAGGCTCCGAGGCGGGGTCTGGGGCACCAGAAGGTTCAGAAAGCCCCAGGAGGCCCCAGGAGGTTCCAGGAGGCCCCCAGGAGGCTCCGAGGCGGGGTCTGGGGTACGAGAGGGTACGTCGGGGCTGGATTTTGGGAGCATGTTTCATGCGAAACCGCCATTATCTGAGAATCGGGGTCAAACTTACTGAATTTACCATGTGTTGTTGAAGGGTTTATGTTAAAATGTTGAAAGTTCATGTGTTTTTGGACCCTGACGTCACGATCTGCGTTAGGGGTGCCACCGAATTTCAGAATTGCGAGGGTGTTCCTAGCGAAACGGCCAGAAAATCGCGAACGCGGCGCCCCGCGTACGCATTAATCGTTTCTGAGCTCTACTCCCTCGGAGAGGTGCGTATGATACTATATATATACACATTCATACATACATACATATGTATGTATCTATATGTATATATATATATATATACATATATATACATACATATATCAGGTTTGATTTTCCTTGTGGCAGCGCGAGGGTTTCCGAGCAGGTGGTTGGAGGGGGGCGCTCGCGAGGCAGGTTCTATTTGGCTTGCTGCGGACGGGCACAACGGGTGGCTGCGAGCGTTACCACGGTGCGAGCGGACTGCTTGAGGATTGTCGAATTCTTGTTTTTGCGCGCGGACCTCTGATGAAAGGATCTGATTGAATCGTCTGCTTTTTCTCCTGAGTGGTGACTAAGCGTAGCCATTTGAGGGCTCCCCTCTGGAAGGGGGCCGTTCAGCCAAGGGAGTTGGAGGGGTAAGCGCTTCCAGGAAGGGTAAGAGGTGGGGTGGAAGAACCAGCTCGCTAGAGCTACTCATGGTCCATTTCAATTCGATCGATCCCGATGCGATTCCGTCGTTCCGACGGTCCGATGCGGCCCGATGTGTGCACGGCGTTGTGCATCTTGGCGCAGGCGATCCGACTCAATTCCGGATCCGTGCCTGCCCAGCCCGATCCGACCCACGTTCCGGCCGGATCCGATCCCCCGATGTGATGCCGACAGATCATGCCTACCAGCGCTCATAGGGCATGTGAAATGTTGAGAGGTCGTGGTCGAAAAGCATGTCCGTATCCGCGGCTTCGCTGGCCGGGCCCCTGGGCCCCAGCCCCCCGCGGATACGGAGCGGTTTGTTCGCGGGTGCCCCGCGCGGAAAGCCTCCATGCGACCGCGCATCCACGGCATCGCGCCCTGGAGTGCGGACTGCGAGTGCGTCGATAATCATACTTCGGCCGCTCGTGAGGATCAGCGGCCACGATGGGTGTGGTTATGCTTGGGTGTGGTTTGCGATCGGCGCCGCTGTGGCTCACAGGGGACCACCACTTTGCGCCAAAGATCTGACGAGCCCTGGTCGGGGTGTGTCGGAGATCTCCGTCAGGGTCCTCGCCCTCTCCGTCCTGGCGCGGTTTCTCAGCTGCCTTGTTACGCTCGTTCTGAAGCGGAACACGTACCGTGCTCAAGATTTCTGTGTTAACACGCTGCGTGTTGGCTCGGCTCGTGTTGGCCCGCGTTCTGGTGTCCGTACAGTCGGTGCCATGAAGCAGGAACGCTTTTCGTTGGGGAGGGGCTCGGTGTTCCTTGATTGTTTTACAGTTTGCCTCGGGTTCCCCTTAGGTTCTTGTATGGAAAATCGAAGTTTAACTTATGGAAAAGAGGGGCCTCGTTCCTTATTTAGGGTTCCTTAGGTCAACGCCCCGACTGTATCGCGCCAGACCTACGTGCTCAGTCCACATGCTGAGGCCCGCGTCGACGCGCTACGGATTGGCTGCTGCGCGTCGGGGCAGTTCGCTCTCTCGTCGGCGTCACCCCAACACACTTATGCTATGTGTGCATCGCTCCTCCCCCCCCCAAGGGGCGACGCGCGCACCGAGAAATCTGACAGTATATGCGTCGTGGCAGGCGCTTTCTGGCCGCACCGCTCGGGAGACGATGCACTGCAAGATTGGGTGCACTGTATGGTGGGGTCCGACGCGCGCGCGCCTCCAAGGATGGCATCTGGCATTAGCGTGTCTCTCTGCGTCCCATCTCGAGGTCCTCGCCCCCCCCCCCAGGCGCGGGTTGCAAACCGCACCCTTTGCAAAACCGCACCCCCTCGGAGTCGCCGAAGGCAGGCGGGGTGGCCGCGGCCGCGAGGCGCTGCGCACTGCGGGCCCCCGCTGGGCCGGCTCGCCGCGGAGCTCGCCGCCGCGCACGGGGGAGAGTTCCTGCGCGCGGCGCGGCGAGAGGCCGGGCCGCCCTCTCCCGCCTGCCCGCGGGAGGAGGAGGAGGAGGAGGAGGAGGAGGAGGGGAAGGAGGAGGAGGAGGAGGGGGAGGAGGAGGGGGAGGAGGAGGAGGAGAAGGGGGAGGAGGAGGAGGAGGAGGAGGAGAAGGGGGAGGAGGAGGAGGAGGAGGAGGAGGAGGAGGAGGAGGAGGAGGAGGAGGAGGAGAGCGGTTTTGCACGACACGCCAGGGGGCGTTTCGCGACGATCGAAGCGGGTGCCAGAAGAATGCCGGCGGCGAGGTCCGAACCTGGCCCCCGCCGGTCCACGATCCAGGCAGCTCGATGGGCGGCGGGGGCCAGGGCTCAGAATTCGTCAAGCGCGTGGCGAAATCCGAGGCCTACACCCTAGGCGATGCTTAGGAAAACCTAAGTTTTCGGCCAGAGTCTCGATTATTCTTAACGTTTCCATGTAAATCCCAAGTTTTTGATAGAAGTTCTAGGTTTTATTCAATTTCTGAGACTATGAATTTCTTAACCCATGATTTCTTAAGCATTTCGCAGGGGTGCGCCCCGCGCCCGGCGCGTCCCGCCGGCCTGGCAGTCGCGCTCGCGTCCGCCCCCGCTGCCGACAAGAAAGTGTATATACACACCTTTATATATATATATATATAGGGGGTGGACAGAACCCCAAACAGTGACACGTCGATTAGTGAATTGTCCGTTTTCGGTTCTCGAGAGGGCGCCGTGGCCGCTATTTTCCAGGCTTGCGCCCACCGGGTTTGGACCTCCGGCCGTTTTCGCTAAACCACGTTTTACTAAAGGGAGGTCTGCCCATCCCCGAATATACATACATATATACATAGATGCACACTTATACGTATGACAGGTTTGAAAGAGGCGTTACAAGAACTGCACCTGGAGTCAGCATATCTTGGGACTCGGCGTGCCAGCCCGTCGCGTCCGGCGTACGATCTGGGCTTGACCCCTGAATCCCGTAGCCGTTTCTGCTCGAGCATTGGGGGCCCCAATTTCAGGTGCCCGTTTTGACGCCAATATTCTGCAGGGAACACATGGCGGCCGCAAGAGCAGCCCTGGCAGCCCTCCGTGGTGGTGCCGCAGGGGCGCGCCGCGGCGCCGCCCAGCCCTGGGCGCGCCCGCTGTGCTCCACCGCGCCGCTGTGGGGCGAGCACACCGGCACCGTGAAGTTCTTCCACGCGGAGAAGGGGTTCGGGTTCATCAGCGGCCCGGACGGCCAGGACTATTTTGTGCACTACACCGCCATCCAGAAGGACGGCTTCAAGTCCCTGGCCGAGGGCGAGCAGGTGGAGTTCGACCTGGAGCCCGACCCGCGCAAGGGCGGCCAGCGCGCCGCGAACGTGACAGGCCCCGGGGGCGCGGCCGTGCAGGGCGCGCCGAAGCGGGAGGCCGATGAGCAGTGGTGAGGCGGCGCGCTGGGGGGGTTCGGTAGGGCGGCAGCAGCGAGCCGGCGAGGGGGCGGGGGGAGGACGATGTTGACAACTAAGGCCTTGACCCGAACGTGAAAAACAAAGTAATGGCGGGGCGTAGCATGAAGCAGGAGCAGCCGCGCAAAAGAGTATAGAGGCCATCGGCAAGATATGAACAATAACCAAGTTTGACCCGATAATTTGTACCATGTGCACTTTAGCACGTGGCTGTGGTTGGAGAACCAAGCCCAGCAATGTATTGAAAGACGACTCTTCAGCCGCAAACTCCCACGAAATGCATGCAGCAACGAATCTCCGGTGAGGTAACTATCACCAAAAGGACCCTCAGCCAAGAACCACTAGAATACAGTAGTCACCATCAAACTGCTTGACCTAGCACATCCTGATTGAAGACTCGCTACACCATGAAGATGTCTTAACAAATCGTCTTTAGGCAATGGATCTCCTGCAATGGCTCATCTCTTCTTGCGTCCTCGCAAAACGACTCCTCTTTGGAGCGTCACTCATCAAATAATCACCACTGACACAAACAGTATTGAAACAACATACAATAAAGCCACTACCAAGTGCAACTCACTAAGCAAACCCTCATTCAACGAACCGTCGCTGAACGAATCCTCATCAAATGAGCCCTCACATGACGAATTCTAGCAATCCCCCAGCAGTCGAATCCTGAGCAAACGGATCCGAATTGAAATACTCATCAGCCAAAAAATGGTGTAACCCATTCGCATAAAAAAAGGAACAGTCTCGTCTCGTGCATATGCACGTTATTTGCATGATGTACCTCGTTGTCTCCCAGAAGAGGGGAGGGGAGGCTAAGAGGAAGCAACGCAGCGAAACATTTGCAATCGGACAGTTGCAATTTTTGCGCCAATGGGCGCGGAACCTGTTACTGTGTTCTGGAAAGCTCCCTTTGTTACCAGGCCACTGACGTGAATAAAGTTTGGGTGGACTGACGCCCATATGTGGTACAGCGGGCATGGCGGGGGAGTCATTGGGACAGATATCCGTAGTTGTCTGAATACATGTGCGTATATGTATATACCGGTGCATGTATTTGCGTATATGCCCCAATCAGTGTTTGTATTGAAGGGGTCTTAGCAGATGTTGACAGATTTGGCGAAAGTGCCCGGCCGATTTTGGTAGGCGGCTGTTTTCCCGGATTCCCGTTTCTGGTTTCCCAGGTTCCCAGTTGATGGTTCCGGGCCAATTTCGGTGGGCGGCGGGGTTCCCGGGTTTGCAGGTTTCCGGGTTCTAGTCGATCTCCTTATCGATCGGTCTTCCCATGGATCTCATTACCCGTCTCACTATCGATTTCATTATGGATCTCATAATCGATCTCACTATAGATCGCACGAGCGATCTCACGATCGATCCCTCTGAATCGACTTCACGTACGATTTCACGCTCGACTTTACTACGGTCCTGATTATCGATCCCACTCGGGATCTCTCAATCGACCTCATTATCCAGATCACTAAGTTTCAAACCATCTACTGATTTCTTTTCTGGTCTATTACATTGATGTGCAGATTTATAGGTGTGTCTATATGTGTGTACACGCTCCTCTGTAATTGAATCCGGACCGTGCGTTCCATGATCGGAATACAGTATTGGCATGTGGGGAACGCGCTTATTTCGGGCAAGTCCCGACTTCGTTTAGATCTGGGGGCCTGGAGGGGCTTCAAAACCTAGTGGTCCCCAGTCTTACCTTTCCGAACCTCACCAATGTCGAATAGGTATACCCGCGCACGTCTCGTTTCTCTCTCCGCGTTGAACACCGTCCATCTTCCAATTGAAAGCCCTCGTGAGTTGTTGTGCCAATCTCGGGAAGTAGATCTATAAAGGCTTGGTGGCGCATTCATTTGCACAGGCGCTTTATGAGCCCTTCCCTCGTCACTGCAACGCTTTCTACTGCCACGCCGCAGAGGTGCCAGGACGGTTATGAAACATGCACGGCAGCGTGTAGGAGAAGTCCCACAACCAATTCAATGTGGTATCTGTTCTGTTCGTCAAGTTCGTGGGCATGTGTGAAGGCGCTCGCGGAAGGGGGGGAACTTCTGTCACGAGGATGATGCAGGGCCATTGGTAGGAAGACCCTCCCTGGGCAGGGCGATTGTACCCAGGCGCGCCAGTCCCTTTGCCGACGCAGTTCAAACGCTGCTAGCAGGAAAGACGTCCCCTGCCAGGGCGATATGACTGAGCGTGGGCACTGCAGAGAGGAGATCCATTCCGAGAGGCCCGACTATGCCAGACTCAGGCGAGAGCGTGCATGGTAGCGGACTCTTTCGCCTCCGTGCAGCCAAGACGTGGCAGTTAAGAGCGGCTTGGATCCGGAAGGGGCTCGATGTTCCCTAGGTCGTTCCATGGTTGTTCTTCTGGCCCTTCGCGTTCACCCACGCTCTTCTGGTGCCAAAGAGGGGGCGTCGTTTGTTATCTAGCGTCTCCTGTGTCAGCAGCCCGACTGCAGTTATATATATATACACATACATACAAGTGGCACGTGTGTGCCCAGGCTCATACAACAAAAACTGAAGGGGCGTTTGAAGCAGGAGTGAAATGCAACAGCGAAGTCGCACTCGAGTGCAAGTGGGGTCGCCACACCTTGTGATGTGTGTACCAGGGCCCCCCAGGAAGCCTCAGGAGGCCCGATTTGGATATCAGAAGAGGCTCCAGGAGGCCCCAGGATTGTGAGTGTTGTGTGGGTGTGTGTGTGTGTGTGTGTGATGTGTGCTCTGTGTTGTGCGTGTTTTTTGTGCGTTGTAGGTGTTGTGTGTGGTATGGTTGTCTAGCGTGTGATGTGTTGGGCGTGATTTGTGTCTCTGTGTGTGCATGTAGTTCTGAGGCCCCATGAGGCCCCAGGAGGCCCCAGGCGGCCTCAGGAGGCCCCAGGAGACCTCAGGAGGCTTCAGGAGGCCCCAAGAGGCTCCAGGAGGCTGCAGGAAGCCGCAGGAGGTTTCAGGAGATCCCCAGGAGGCTCCGAGGCGGGGTCTGGGGCACCAGAAGGTTCAGAAAGCCCCAGGAGGCCCCAGGAGGTTCCAGGAGGCCCCCAGGAGGCTCCGAGGCGGGGTCTGGGGTACGAGAGGGTACGTCGGGGCTGGATTTTGGGAGCATGTTTCATGCGAAACCGCCATTATCTGAGAATCGGGGTCAAACTTACTGAATTTACCATGTGTTGTTGAAGGGTTTATGTTAAAATGTTGAAAGTTCATGTGTTTTTGGACCCTGACGTCACGATCTGCGTTAGGGGTGCCACCGAATTTCAGAATTGCGAGGGTGTTCCTAGCGAAACGGCCAGAAAATCGCGAACGCGGCGCCCCGCGTACGCATTAATCGTTTCTGAGCTCTACTCCCTCGGAGAGGTGCGTATGATACTATATATATACACATTCATACATACATACATATGTATGTATCTATATGTATATATATACATATATATACATACATATATCAGGTTTGATTTTCCTTGTGGCAGCGCGAGGGTTTCCGAGCAGGTGGTTGGAGGGGGGCGCTCGCGAGGCAGGTTCTATTTGGCTTGCTGCGGACGGGCACAACGGGTGGCTGCGAGCGTTACCACGGTGCGAGCGGACTGCTTGAGGATTGTCGAATTCTTGTTTTTGCGCGCGGACCTCTGATGAAAGGATCTGATTGAATCGTCTGCTTTTTCTCCTGAGTGGTGACTAAGCGTAGCCATTTGAGGGCTCCCCTCTGGAAGGGGGCCGTTCAGCCAAGGGAGTTGGAGGGGTAAGCGCTTCCAGGAAGGGTAAGAGGTGGGGTGGAAGAACCAGCTCGCTAGAGCTACTCATGGTCCATTTCAATTCGATCGATCCCGATGCGATTCCGTCGTTCCGACGGTCCGATGCGGCCCGATGTGTGCACGGCGTTGTGCATCTTGGCGCAGGCGATCCGACTCAATTCCGGATCCGTGCCTGCCCAGCCCGATCCGACCCACGTTCCGGCCGGATCCGATCCCCCGATGTGATGCCGACAGATCATGCCTACCAGCGCTCATAGGGCATGTGAAATGTTGAGAGGTCGTGGTCGAAAAGCATGTCCGTATCCGCGGCTTCGCTGGCCGGGCCCCTGGGCCCCAGCCCCCCGCGGATACGGAGCGGTTTGTTCGCGGGTGCCCCGCGCGGAAAGCCTCCATGCGACCGCGCATCCACGGCATCGCGCCCTGGAGTGCGGACTGCGAGTGCGTCGATAATCATACTTCGGCCGCTCGTGAGGATCAGCGGCCACGATGGGTGTGGTTATGCTTGGGTGTGGTTTGCGATCGGCGCCGCTGTGGCTCACAGGGGACCACCACTTTGCGCCAAAGATCTGACGAGCCCTGGTCGGGGTGTGTCGGAGATCTCCGTCAGGGTCCTCGCCCTCTCCGTCCTGGCGCGGTTTCTCAGCTGCCTTGTTACGCTCGTTCTGAAGCGGAACACGTACCGTGCTCAAGATTTCTGTGTTAACACGCTGCGTGTTGGCTCGGCTCGTGTTGGCCCGCGTTCTGGTGTCCGTACAGTCGGTGCCATGAAGCAGGAACGCTTTTCGTTGGGGAGGGGCTCGGTGTTCCTTGATTGTTTTACAGTTTGCCTCGGGTTCCCCTTAGGTTCTTGTATGGAAAATCGAAGTTTAACTTATGGAAAAGAGGGGCCTCGTTCCTTATTTAGGGTTCCTTAGGTCAACGCCCCGACTGTATCGCGCCAGACCTACGTGCTCAGTCCACATGCTGAGGCCCGCGTCGACGCGCTACGGATTGGCTGCTGCGCGTCGGGGCAGTTCGCTCTCTCGTCGGCGTCACCCCAACACACTTATGCTATGTGTGCATCGCTCCTCCCCCCCCCAAGGGGCGACGCGCGCACCGAGAAATCTGACAGTATATGCGTCGTGGCAGGCGCTTTCTGGCCGCACCGCTCGGGAGACGATGCACTGCAAGATTGGGTGCACTGTATGGTGGGGTCCGACGCGCGCGCGCCTCCAAGGATGGCATCTGGCATTAGCGTGTCTCTCTGCGTCCCATCTCGAGGTCCTCGCCCCCCCCCCCAGGCGCGGGTTGCAAACCGCACCCTTTGCAAAACCGCACCCCCTCGGAGTCGCCGAAGGCAGGCGGGGTGGCCGCGGCCG